AAAGCCCGCTAACCTCAAGGTCAGCAGTGTGAATCCGTTAGTCTTTGGGAGGGAGAAAGATGAGGCTGTCTGTAGCCAATGTAGCAGTCCTCCTTTCTCCTATAGGGCCACCATGAGCGGAATCCGACTCAATGGCAGCAGGCTGGGTTTTATACATGTGAGGGAAAGCTGAGAGAGATAAAAGCTAGACAGAAAAAGAGTAAGGACCGAGGGGCTCCAGGGTGGGGATGGAGGGGAAGGGAAGAGAGGTGAGGCAAAATAAGATGAGTGGCAAGGGGAAAGCAGGGGCCATTCTAGGTGGCAGCCACTGAGCATCAGTCCCTGAGCATCAGTCCATGAGGCCTTGGCTGGCCTGTAACCTTGCCCAATCTAACCCAGGTCATCAGCTCTCTGCTCACCAGCCTCAGGACCTTCAGCATTCCAGTTGGCGAGAAGAAAAAGCGCTTGACACTGTCCCTGAATTTGTACGGCACTTTGGTCCGTTCCACGGCACGCTTCTTGATGGCTCTCTTTTCCTTTGGGCTCAAGGGCCTGTATTGTTCAGGGGCCTTCTGGTCTGGGACCAGAGGCTCTGCAGTCGTATCATAAAGCACAGTGTGCTCTGTAGGCGCCAGATTCGCATCTTTAGGCTGCGTGGGCTGGGAGGAAACAGGTCGCTTTCTGCCAGAGGGGGTGCTCTTGGAGCGCGCCTGGGATGCTGAAGAGCGCACGGAGGGATTAGAGCGGCCGGGAGGGGCTGCCTGCTTCACTGAGCGGTTGGCTTTCAAGTCCTTTGTAGATATCCCACGACTGGGGCCTTGCGAAGCCATGATGGGCGTTGGCCTGCTGCTTTGGGCAGGCGCTGCCGGTCAGAGCAGCACCATGGGCAGCTAGGTCCTCGGGACCAACAGCGCGCCCCAACGGCTGTCGGCCGCCCACTCCTCGCGCGCTGTCAGCACCAGCCGAGCCCTCTAGACAAGCCCAGGAATGCGAAGCAGCTGCCTAGCCTGGGAACTCAGTGTCTCCCCCACAACTCATCACCCCGGGCTGGCAGCCAGCCAGGCTGGGTACCAGGGCAGCATGTAGTACCTGAGTGGGTACTTTCTTCTCAGGTGCCCCTCCCTCCCAGCGCCCCCTGGAGGTTAAGGTCAAGGTGTGCAGTGGGTATCCCGCCAATGTCCTCAGCTCCCAAATTGAGATCACAGTGAGACTGTATGGAAGAATAAAGTAATCTTTTTAATTCTTGGTATCAACTAATAATAGATTACAAAAAACGTTTTTGGTCATGAGAAGGCTTTTTCTGATAAGGCCCACTTGGATTAAACAGAAGTTTCCGGTAAATCAGGGCCCCATCTGCAATAGAGCACACTGTTGACAAGAGTCCAAACACCTGCAAACAAAGTCACAGTGTCAATGCAGCTGCAGATGTCCGTTCTTGCTAGGGGCTATATCCTGCTTTGCTGCCTGAAGTGCACACAGGAGAGACCTTAGAGATGGCTGCCTCTCCTGTTTTCCCACCCCCACCCAAAACTGGGATCATTTAGGCATGTAGGCAGATAGGCAGGGACTAGGGGCTCTGAAGTAAGTTGGGCGTCTGCCTGTATTGCTTGACTTTGCTCCTGTGAGCTGGCTGTATTGTTTAAGCCCTGATGACTGTATTGAGAAAATCAATCAACATTTCTATTCCCAACCTTCAATTGCTTGACTTATCTGCGGCCGAACACTTCTGAAGAGAGGGTCTAAGTTAACACCAGCCCAAGATTAAACCATGGGAATAGCCATTGTGATAAACACTTTGGGGGACTGGAGAGGATGACTCAGCTCCAACCCTCAAAGCCTGGGCTGCATCCATTGAAGTGTGAGGGGTGGGGTTATCAGGGCCTTAAGAAAATACAACTGAGGTGATGGGAATCAAGGATAACACAGGGGTCCTCTAGGGACTCTGATGTCCATTTGGTCTGCTCCATTCAGTGGCAGAAATCTGGCTTCTTGGTTCAAGACTAAGCTCCTACAATGGGGTCCTAATCCTGGAATCTCAAGACAGCACCCCTTAGATTCTGGATTCTGACTACACCTCCCAGCCCTTTTAGGACTTGGGCACTCTACACATAGCTGCATCCTTCACCTGGAACCCCTCTTCTTCCCTTCCTTTTGATTCCTGGCAAATGGCAATTCCGCTGCCAAAAACGATGTTGGTGCTTCCTTTTCTGTACTCCACAGTCAAAGGCTTATAGTCAGCAGTTTCCACTTCTGTCTCCTGTGTCAGGATCTAAGCAACTGGTGCTCTAGCATGGAGCTTCCAAAAGAAATACCCATGGGTTCTGCATCCATTGATTCAACCGACCTCAGATTGAAAGTATTTTTGGGGGGCGGGGAAGTGGTCAAGAAGGAGCCTGGTGGAGCTGTGGGATAAGCAATGGGCTGCTAAATGCAAAGTTAGTGGTTCCAAACCCATCACCTGCTCCATGAGAGAAAGTTGAGGCTGTCTGCTCCAGTAGAGAGTTACAGCCTTGGAATCCCTAAGCAGCAGTTCTAATCTGCACTGTAGGGTTGTTCTGAGATGGAGCTGACTTGATGGCAGTGTTCAAGTGGTCAAAGCCAGCCCTCAAAGGCTAAGAGGGAGCAGAAAACGCTATTTACATGGCATTTGCATTGCATTAGGTATTATAAGTAATCTCATAATCTAAAAAGATGATTTAAAGTATGAGAGGATGGGTGTACTTTATATGCAAACAATAGACCATTTTATATAAGGGACTTCAGTATCCTTGGATTTTGGTATCCACAGCGGTCCTGGAATCAATCTTTCATGGAGACCAAGGAATGAGTATAATATGAACCACCAGCAGGAGCCGCATTGTTATTATCGCTAAGTGCTGTTGAATCGTGTCTGACTCATAGTGTTACTGTGTAGGGTTTCCAAAGCTTGAAATCTTCACAGGAGCACAAAACCTTATCTTTCTCCTGTGGAGTAGTTGGTGGGCTTGAACCACAGACTTTGTGGTTTGTAGTCCATTGCATGTGCCTCATTAGAAAAATTAAAAAAATAATAATTTAAATGATATCATTCAACCCAATAGATCCAAAAGTTATCCTTTTGAATCATTTAAAAATTACCATACAAAATAATCAATAAAATAAGTTATTAATGTGAAATCGTCTTTCTTTGGGTAGTAACATTCAGTGTATTTGACACTCGCTGCTTATTTCAATTCTCAGGGCTCAGCAACCACATGTGCCTAGTGACCTATACTACACAGCCCGCGCTGTGTTCTTTGTCAGCACCAGCCAAATTGTACTTCAGGAACCAATCAATGAATGAGTGAGTAAAGAAGTGACGGAAAGTAAATTCTGTGTCAGATCCCTCTTTCTCCAGAGTAACAACAAAACCCCAAATCCATGCCACTGAGTTAATTCTGGGTCAATGGTAGGACAGAGTAGAACTGCCCCATAGGGTTCCCAAACCTGTCATTCTTATGGAAGCACATCTTTCTCCCTCAGAGTGACTGGTGGGTTCCAACTGCTGACCTCCTGGTTTGCAGCTGAGCACTTAACCCCTATGGCTCCTCCTCCCACCCCAGAGTTGTTGTTGTTGTCAATTGCCTTCGAGTTGGTTCTGACTCATAGCAACCCTGTATAGGGTTTCTGAGGAGCAGCTGGTGGGTTTGAACTGACGACCTTGTGGTTCACAGTCCAGTGCTGATCCTACAGCGCCACAGCAGAAGTCGAGGGATACAATCATCTGTAAAGACGATGGGAGGAACTGCTGCTACAGTGCTGCTCTCTCATTTCTAGAGTAATTCTGATTCCTCATGACATTGTTGAGGGCTTTAAATAAGGGAGCCAGAGAAACCAGAAACTTGTCTATAAGGTTATCTGAGAGGGATCAGTTCTTCTAAGTGCTCCACACTATGAAAGGGAGAGGACAGAGGACGTAGGTTTATTGAAGAACTTTCTCATTCAATTCTCCAGATGAGAACTTGGAAAAGCCAAAGGATTTAACAACAACAACAACAATAGGAAATCTCAGAATATCTTGACTCTTCTCGTTTTGATAAAAATTGTCTTGCCTTCCAGAACAAAGTCTGATTAAACTGACTTACTTCCTCTCAAGCAGGTTTCAAGAGAATCCTTTAGTTACAAAACTTCTACCACCATTCCCTTATTATTGGAATGTCTCCCATTACATTCCATCTGAAGAAGGGTCTGAACAAGAAGAATGGAGTCAGAACAGTGTCCCTTCCTTTACCAACGATATCCTTTTACTGAAAGGGGAGACCTATGCAACTCACTCACCATGCTTTTCTGTGGCTTGACTATCAGGTGTCTCAGAACTATGCATTGGAACGAATTGCAGCAGTTTCCCCCAGTCCATTATTCTCCTTTTTGATTTACAAAGGAGAATAGTCCCTCATAGGGACTTTTTACTCATTTGAATTCTTTCCACTAGGTCTTTCCTGGGCAGGCTGAAGTACTTTTTGAAAGTAAGCTGGGTAGAAATGAACAGGTAGGATCTAGTGATAACACTGTCTCTAAGACCTTGAAGTCTGAAGAGTACACACTATGACTCAGTATCATTTTCTAGGAGCTAACATTAGTCCTCTGGTAGTGCAGTGGTTACAAATCAGGTTGCTAATCTCACGGTCAGCAGTTTGAAACTACCAGCTGTTCCGCGGGAGAAAGATGAGGCTTTCTGCTCCCATAAAGATTTACAACCTTGGAAACCCTGTATAGGGTCGCTATGAGTGGGAACCGACTCCACGGCACATAACAACATTAGTTCTGAGCTTCTGGGACACGGCTTTGGGAATGATGTAGGAACCTCTGTACTTGGTCAGCTCCAGTTTTAGTGTGAAATCCTATTCCTTCCTGTTAATCAGGAGCTGCATTCACACACAAAGTAATTCACCAGGGCTAAACGATGAATGCAGAGCGGAGTTTCTGGCTTTGTATCTTGTTTTCAGATGAATTTGTATTCATATCAAGCCTGCAGAACAAAATCCAGAAAGGTATCTACTTACTCCTCCAAGGATTGTCATTGTCGTGGTTTCTGGGATCAGTGCCAATACAGATACAATCATCAAGAACACTGTTGTTACCAAGGAGTTGAGGACATCCTGAAAACCCAGAATACAAAGACCAGCTTTATCTAGAGATCACCGTGCAATGCTCACAAACAAACAAAACCAGTTCCAAAAAGATTTATTTTATAGGAACACCAAACTGTCACAGTAAAATAACACCTGTATTATATTTGGTCTAAATGGTACCTACTGGTTCTGTGTATGATTTATTGTTATACTAATTTAACTACATAACAAGTTTAATTCTTTGTTTACTCAACAGAAATGTAGTTGGAGGGAGGACTCATTCGGTTTTAAGGAACCATTTTGCGGAAAGTTCAGGTAAAATGGGTATACTGGAAAGCAAGCCAGATGTTCACTTTTATACATGACACCACCACCCAGAATACTAGTATTGAGAGATTTATCTGGAAGTTTACTATTTCAGGATTTCATTGCTTTGAATATTCTCCTTTGCTCTTTCAATGTATTGTCCATTTCTGAAATCTTATTACTAATCTTCTGAATTCCTAATTGCATGTTTTGTATTGTTTCAAAATTTGTATTTATTTTGTCTCTTACAGTGTTTTCCTGAGTTCTTCTAAATTATTTTTCTGTGTTCTTGCTTTCCTTGATCTGTCAATCCATTGAAGGTACCAAACTATTATTCTTTTGAATTCTTTCTCAGTTAGTTCCATTATTTTTTCTCAGAAATGTTTTGTCTCTGCATCTTGGTCATTTGTTTGAGCCATTCTTTCATGTTTTCATGTGAGCTAAAATTATCTGTTGACTCCTGGACATTGTGGGGTTGCCATATTTGTAAAAACTAACAGTGCAGTTGTTGAACCCTGCAAGGAGATCTCTGGTGGGCAACTGCAATTCAAGGAGCTCATGATGTGAGTGTGGGAGGGATGTGACAGCAGCATTCCTGGCCCTAGAGGGCATTCCTATTGGCCTAGGTGTTATCTATGTTCAGGGCACTTAATCCGGAAGTAGTTTGTGGGAGCCCTTGAAGGAACTGGTTTCGTTCGATATGTTAGGACCAGGGAAGCTGGGTGCAGGGTGACTGGTTAAATGCTGGTCTGGAGCTCTGGGTTTTGAAGGTCTGGAGTAAAGCCCACCTAAATCTAGGCACCAAACTGTACACCAAAGTGGTGCAGCCGTCCCCCATCTCAAGCTGGTGTGGCTCCCAACCATGACTCTGTGCTGGGGATGGATGAGGGTGGGAGCTGCCCATGTGCTGGTCACCAGGGGAGTGTGGCCAATCTGCTCTGCCAGGCCTTCCTCTGCTACCAAAGCTGTTCACAAGACAGTGGAGCCAGCTGTTCACCAGTCAGTCTCCCTCTCTCATCGTCCCTGCTCGGCCTGTCCTCCCAGCAGGTACTCCACCCACCTCTCTAACTTTCCCTCTGAAGTTCAGGGTGCAAGAATTTTCATCTATGAGTTTTGTTTGGTCTCTCACATCTTTGTTGCAGAGAGTCTGTGTAGTGCATCTGCCTAGTCTGCCATCTTGCTGGAAGGCTCAAATTTCTGGGTCTTTCAGTGGGCTGTAACTGCCGACCTCAGCAGCCAAGTGTTTAACCATTGCAACACCAGGGCTCCTCCTGTTGGGCACCTTGACAAATGCAATGGCTGGCAATTATGTTGTTATTTCTGATGAAAAATCTCATTCACTTTATAATTCCTCAAAATAAAGCACTTTCATTTTTAATTGTGGCTTTAAGATGTGCGACTTACAATCTGAATGTGGGAATGCCAGTCTTTATTCTGGAACAGTTTATGTATATTTGCAGGTAACTGTAGGCAGTTAGGAATTGTTAACAGTTACTAAACTTCAAACATTTGGGTGACTTAGAAAGAAAAAGCAGGTATTAAAAGATAATGGGGGGGTAGCAGAAGGAGCAAAATTAGATACACTTAGGAAGAAAAATTCTCATTGGCACAGAACTATTGATCCTAACTGTCCTAGGTTAACTCCAAAGTTCTTTATCCTTAATAGGAGTTATTGGCTCAAGTATCTGGCCCATTGAAATCCAAGAGGATGAGACAAGTACAGCACAGAACGGTATGGCAGCCAAAGAGCATCCGGGCTGAGGAGGGAGTCCTATGGAGAGGATGATGAAGGTAGGATTTGCAAAAGCAGAGAGTGGTGAAGTAGAACCAGCATTTACTTTGAGCTGAAGTGCCACTTACCCTTTTAACCTGCCTGTTTTGACAATTTTCAGAACCATTTGGGTAGTTGTCTACTGGGCTGTGGCTGTTGATTAAGTGCTACTCAGAGTGACCTTGTATAGGATTTCTTAGGAGTGGCTTGTGAGTTTGATCCGCTGACCTTTCAGTCCAAGCTGACCTTGCGATTCAGTGCTTAATCCTACAGCGCCACACTGCTAAGCAGTTACGTTACTGGGCAGTTACTCCTAATTCTGAGTATGTCAGGTTGAAAACTGTTTAGCATTAATGATTGCAGACACATTTAAGTAAAAATAAAATTGTGCTTTATTCAGCCTTCCCAAATTAGTTTGATTTTCCATTGAAGCGTGGAAGGGTCAGCAGGCAGATACTGGTATATCTGCATCTCTTTCCTCAATTTTGAGGTCATATTATCATACACTTAAAAGATAGGTAAAGATTATATATCTATAATTTTATCAACATTATCTTTAATTTATATTTCTTTAGAAGAGCTACACTGAAGATAATTCTAATAGAAGAATTTGCCAGTCCTGATGTGGCACTGTAGGATAAGAATTTGCCAGTCCTGACTGCTAATCACAAGGTTGGTCATTCAAACCCAGGAGCTAATCCTCAGAAACCTATAACCTATACAGGGTCACTGAGTTGGAACCAACTCTATGGCTCTTAACAATGACAACAACGGATAGATGGAGCTTAGAGATGGAGAATTTATTTTCCCGAGACTCTCCCCCAGGGGCTTGAGAGAGCACAAGTACAGCGGGGGTGTCCCTGTTTCCTGAGCCCATCAGATATCACCTTAAGAGGAGTAAAGAATAGCTGACTACATGGCTCACTAGGTTAGGGAAAAGTTGTTAGAGTTTAATTGTAAAACTAAATACTTACAAGCAAAGGCCAAAATAACCATTTCAGTAATCGATCAAGTCTGAGTAAATATAAAATTATGAAAAATAAAATAATGGTGGCTTCAAATCCAGTAATAGCAATGTATGGCTCAGGGGCCTGTGCCAGGATAAAAAAGGTCATCGACGTCACTGTTAGGACCTGCAAGGGAAAGAAAAGCTACTTACGTATGGTTAAATATGATTTTAAACTGTAAAAATAATTTATAGAATAACTTAATGAGTTTCTGCCATATGCATCTGCAAATAAAAGAAGCCTGACTAATGCGTATGAATATTGAGTTCTCTTTGTGTTTTAAAGGACTAATTGTCTGTTTCAAGTCTAATTCCTGGTGTGGTGCTGTATACTAAGTACTTGACCACAGGTCGGTTTGAGACACAAAGTCGGCAGTTCAAACTCACCAACCGCTTCTTAACAACACTAGATATTATCACTTCTCACATCTGCTCTATTGCTATTTCCCCACCCAATATCATCTCTTCCCTCTTGCTCCTTCAATCTCTCCCCTTCCATCCGTTCTTCACCACATCATCCTATGCTGCTGCTGTTGTTCGGTGCCATTGAGTCAGTTCTGACTCCTAGCAACCCTGTGTAGGGTTTCTAAGAAGCAGCTGGTGGATTTGAATTGCTGACCTTGTGGTTAGAAGTCTAGTGCTTATCCTACTGTGCCACACCAGGACTCATCATCCTATAAATATATTTATGTTGACTACTCTTAAAACCAACTTGTCTTGAAAGAAGTGCAACCAGAATGCCCCGTGAAAGCCAGGATGTTAGGGCTTCGTCTCTCATACTTTGGGCATGTTATCAGGAGGGGCCAGTCACCGAAGTAGGATAGCACACTTGATAAAATGCAGGGTCAGTGAAAAGGAGGAAGACTCCCAAAGAGATGGTCTGACACAGTGGGAGCACTAGTGGGCTTAAATGTAACAACAATGGATGATGGTCCAGGACCAGGCCGTGTTTCATTCTGTTGTATATAGGTTTGCTATGAGTTAGAAATGACTTGGTGGCATTAACAGCAACTATCTCAAAGCACACTCTATACATCTGATCTGACGCTCTGAACACTAATGACTGAAGACCAGATGATTTGTGGGATGACATCAGGAACAGCATATGTGTGTTTTTTTTAAAGCTTTTATTGTGAATCGAGTGAAAGTTTACAGGGTAGATCATTAATTTTACATTCAACAAATCATATACTTTGTTTCATTACAATGATTACAATCCCCACCATATACCATCAGTTAACAGTATTAATCTCTATTCATTTTAGCTCTTATTATTATTTTTTTAACACTCAGGTATACATAATAATTTACACCATCAAAGGACACATTCTGCAAGCCTGCCTCCTGGCTGACAGCTCTCAGTCCCTCTCTTTCTATGAATCCACAGTCCTCAGCTGCTCCCTCTCTTCATGTCCCCATCTCTGCCTCCATCTCTGGTGTCACTGCTTCTCTGGATAAGGTCCCGCATTCCGTTTGTGCTCTTCTCCCTTGATGGTCCTAGGGTCCTCTGTTTCTGGACTGTAAGATTAACTACTCCCCCGTTTTTGTTTAAAACTTCTACCTTTACAATTGTGACAATTGCAATTAGTTATGATAACAATTACTCACTATTGAATCATAAGAATCTTATCCCCATCTCTTTCATCTGACCCATCTAGACAAGATGAAAACTATTCAATGGGGACTCTACTTAACCCCCCCACTCTTAAACTAAATTCCCTCCTGAAAACTTGTAAGCCAGTCACTTCGAGCCTTTATCGTCCCCTCATTTTAGGTAGTCAATGTCTAAGTTGCCCGTCCCTATATACCCTGTATACAGAGGGGATAGCATTGATACTTGATGTGAAGACTGCTTCCCTCTCTGTTGTAATTTTGAGCTACTACCTCCATGAATATAGGTCAAGGAAAGCAAAATGTTTTTAAAAAGAAAGAAAAAAACCAAAGTAGATGTCAGAAGAGACTCTGAAACTTGCTCTTGAACATAGAGTAGCTAAAGTGAGTAGAAGAAATGAAGTAGAATTGCTGAACAGAAAATTTCAATGGGCAGCTTGAGAAGACAAAAAAAAAGTATAGGAAATGTGCAAAGAACTGCAGTTAGAAAACAAAAAGTGAGGGACATGATGTCATCCCACAAATCATCTGGTCTTCAGTCATTAGTGTTCAGTGCGTCAGATCAGACGTATGGGGTATGCTTTGAGACAGTTGCTGTTAATGCAATCAGGTCAGTTCCAACTCATAGCAAACCTATACACAGCTAGAAAACCAAAAGCATTTTCCAAGCTGAAAGAACTGAAGAAAAAAAAATTCAACGCTCAACATGCAATATTGAAGAATTCTATGGATAAAATAATAAATGATGCAGGAAGCATCAAAATAAGATGGAAGGAATGCACAGAGTCACTGTACCAAAAGGAATTGGTAGATGTTCAACCATTCCAGGAAGTAGCATATAATCAACTGATAGTAGTGTAGGAAGAAATCCAAACTGCACTGAAGGCATTAGCTAAAAATAAGGCTCCACAAATTAATGGAATACCAGAAATGCTCAAACTGATGCAGTGCTGGAAACACTCACTAATGTATACCAAAAAATTTGAAAGACATCTACCTGGCCAACCAACTGAGATCTAGATCTGTATTTGTGCCCATTCCAAACAAAGGCGACCTAACAGAATATGGAAATTATTGCACAATATCATTAGTATCACACACAAATAAAATTTTGCTGAAGATAAATCAAAAACAGTTGCCACAGTACACTAACAGGGAGCTGCCAGAAACTCATGCCAGATTCAGAAGAGGATGTGGAACGAGGGCCATCACTGGTGAGGTCAGATGGATCTTGGCTGATAGCAGAGAATGCCAGAAAGAGGTTTACTTGTGTTTTATTTTTGGAGCTGGCATCTATTTGCATAATTACAATGTGCAGACATACCCAGGAAAGGGAACTTCTAACACCCCCACCCGCCTACATGGGACAGAGCCAACACTGAGCATAGCCACTGGGCACATTCTGGCCTCTGAGGACAGTGGGACTGGTGGCCACTCTTCCTCCTCCTTGGACTCCCTCTTGAGAGTATAGACAGGGGTAGGGTGACCCAATGGAATGCGGAAATCATTGGACAATATCATTGATATCCTATGTGAGTAAAGTTTTACTAAAGGTAATACAGAAACGGCTGCAACTATACATTGACAGAGAACTTCCAGAGGTTCAAGCAGGATTCAGAAGAGGATATGGAATGAAGGATGTCATTGCTGACATTAGATGGATCTTGGCTGAAAGCAGAGAATCCCAGAAAGATGCTTACTTGTGCTTTATTGACTACACAAAGGCCTTTGAGTGTGTGGATCATGACAAGCTATGGACAACACTGCAAAGTATGAGTATTCCAGAACACTTAATTGTGCTCATGAGGAACCTTTACATAGACCAAGAGGCAAATGGATCAAGAGAACCAAGGGAACACTGAATGGTTTAAAATTAGGGAAGGTGTGCACCGGGGTTGTATTCTTTCACCATACTTATTCAATCTGTATGCTGAGCAAATACTCCAAGAAGCTGGGTTATATTAAGAAAAATGAGGTATCAGCATTGGAGGGAGACTCATTAACAACCTGTGATATGCAGATGATACAACCTTCCTTGGTGAAAGCAAAGAGGACTTAAAATACTTAGTGATGAAGATCAAAAACCACAGCCTTTGGAATGGGTTGCATCTCAGTGAAAAGAAAACAAATATCCTCACTACAATAAACAACATCCATATAAATGAAGAAAAGATTGAAGTTGTCAAAGACTTCATTTTGCTCAGCTCAACCGTCAACACTCATGGAAGCAGCAATCAAGAAATCAAATGATGTATTGCATTAGGCAAATCTGCGGCACAAGACCTCGTTAAAGTGTTTAAGAGCAAAGATGTTAGTTTGAAGACTAAGGTGCGCCTGACCCAAGCCATGGTATTTTCAGTAACTTCATATGCATGTGAAAGCTGGACAGTGAATAAGGAAGACCATTGAAGAATTGATGCATTTGAGTTAAGTTGCTGGAGGAGAATATTAAAAGTACCATGGGCTGCCAAAAGAACACATAGATCTGTGTAGGAAGAAGTACAGCCAGAGTGCTCCTTGGAAGCCCAGATGGCCAGACTTTGTCTCTCATACTTTGGATATATTATCAGCAGGGACCAGTGCCTGGAGAAGGATATCATGTTTGGTAAAGTAGAGGGTCAGAGAAAAAGAGGAAGATCCCCCAATGAGATGGATTGGCACAGTAGCAGCAGCAATGGGCTCAGGCCTAGCCCATTGATCAGGTTGGCCCAGGACTGGGCAGTGTTTCATTCTGCTGTGCATAGGATCCCTATGGGTCAGTACTGACTCGATGGTACCTTACAATAAACAACAAGAACAAAAAAAAACCAATGCCTTTGAATTACGGTGTTGGTTAATAACACACAAAGTACCACAGAGTGACAGAAGAACAGTAAGTCTGTCTTGGAAGAAGTACAACCAGAATGCTCCTTAGAACCAAGGATGGTGAGACTTTGTCTCATGTGCTTTGGAGATGTTCTCAGGAGGGACCAAGCCCTGAAGAAGGGCATAATGCTTGGTAATGCAGAGGGTCAGCAAAAGAGAAGAAGACCCCCAATAAGACTGACAGAGTGACTGCAACAAGTCCAGACATAACAAGAGTAATGAAGATGACTTTGGCCAGGGTACTGCTTCATTTTGTTGTGCATTTGTCACTATGAGTCAGGGCCAAGTCAATGACACCTAATAACAGTTGGTCAAATACAGACACACAGCTTCCTTTTATTCTGCTCCCCGTAGAAACCACTGTTCTGCTTTCTCCTTCCTGTTAAGCTTCTCAACAAAGTCATTATACTAGTTATCATTCATCATTCCTGAATTCTTAAAAGTCTGGAATCTGCTGTCAAATATGCATTTATGTCACCATCAAACATATTGGGGAGGGAAGTTTAAAACTTGGCAGAGAGAAACAAATTCTGATGTTTAATAGCTTTATTACTCAGAATACAACTTTTTATACTTCCTCTTACAGAGAATCAGAATTGAATTTTTGAGTAGAAAAAAAAACCTCTTGAAAATAACAAGACTCATCCAATGACTTCATTTCCCAATGAAGATATGGAACATGACAATTTTCAGTGACTTGTTGAAGGAAAAAATGAGCACTAGGTTTCCAAAGAGACCTGCCAATACCATGATCTGGGATGGATCTATCCAGAGTGTCTTTGTGTTCTTGGTCAATGGTTTGCCAAGTTCATGCCCTCTCTGGGTAGACTTTTATAATCAATCTGTCAGCTTGTAACATCTACTGCATATTCTTTTTCACTGTAAATCTATAAGCTACTTATTCAAAATTCTTAAAATTACTTTATTAGTATAAAAATAACCTACCTTTAAACTTCTAAAGTTATTGTTATGTACTGTGGAGTCGGTTCCGACTCATAGTGACCCTGCACAGGGTTTCCGAGGCTGTACATCTTTATGGGAGCAGAAAGACTCATCTTTCTCCCACGGAATGGCTGGTAGTTTCAAACTGCCGACCTTGAGGTTAGCAGCCCGATTTGTAACCACTATGCTACCAGAGCTCCTTAAACTTCTAAAGTAGTAATGATAAAGCACGACTTATTATCTAGTAAATGACTCATGCTTTATAATAAAATCACTATTAGCAGCATGTCATCTCAAACCACTCTGTTTACCCTAATGAACAAAGATCTTTTGTTACAGAATTAGGAATCCAAATCCAAGCCCCCCCTCCTCTCTGTAACCTGTCTATACACAATGGTATCTGGCAATGGCGATTCTTCCATTTTCTTAAAATTTCCAGTGATTTCTGTAACACTAGCTTCTCTCCTAATCCATATTACATGTTTCTTCAATTCCTGTCCTTTGTTTCCAGTTTCAACATCTCTATGATATTCACCACTCTATGGTAACGGCTTTGCTAGGATCATCAATTACTTGTTTCAGAATTACTTGTTGTTAAGTGCTGTCCAGTCGGTTCCGACCCATAGCGACCCTGATAGGGTTTCCAAGGAGCAGATGGTGAGTTTGTACCACTGACCTTGCAGTTCAAATGGCTTTGCAGTCTGGCGCATTAACCCACACCAGGACTCCGGTGAATTACTTAGTCTAATGGCAAATTTCCCGTTCTTATCTTCCTGGGTCCCATAACTTATTTGTCATTGGCCACCCTTCCTCTGAGCCCTGGGGTGGCACTGCAGGATAAGCACTGGACTGGTAACCGAAAGGTTGACAGTTCAAACTCACAGCTGCTCTCAGAAACCCTACACAGGGTCACTATGAGTTGGAACTGACTCAGCGGCACACACAACAACCCTTCCTCTGTGTCTCTATTCTATGGTTCCCGCATCATGTTTTCTAGTTATTTCTGCAAGTGTTCTCTCCTGGGCTCCTCTTCTCTTACCCGTCCCTTTAAAATGCTGGCATTCCTATGTTCTGTCCCCAAACTGCTCTGAATTTGCACCTCTATCTCAGGGTCTAGTTTCCAAACTTTACATAAATATATTTTTTTACGTCTCCAGTTGGATAACCTTCCCAACGGCCCGCTCCTCACCAGACGCATCATCTTCACGTGGCCTTTTACGCTTAAGCAGAAGGGGCGATGCGGCATCTGCGGCTGGGGTGGATAGGATTCTGGCCTCGGCATAGCGCCAGCCGACCCAGCTGCTGCTCTTCCCTTTGCAGCCATTCTCCACTGAGGACTGCTCCGCCCAACCTTGCGCGACGATTGTAACCGCCTCTGCAGCCGCGCATCGCCCTCTTCCCAACTAGGTTTCCTGCCCTCGAATGCACATGCGCGTGTCTCCGCGGTCAGTACGCATGCGCTCCACAAGAGGCGTTTCTTGGCACGTCTCGTTCCATCCATTTTTCTTGGTTTACGCTGGCGAACGCCTTACATCCCTACCCCCGCAACCACCCTATGTTCCCATATATGAGGACCTACTGTAAAGCCACTCTAGCTAATGACAACTGCTCTCTTGATGGGGCGGGGGGGTTGTTAAGTGCTGTTAGTCGGTTCTGACTCAGCGACCTTGCACAAGGTTTCCAAGCAGTGGCTGGTAGGTTTGAACCGCCAACCTATTGGTTAGCAGCCCAGTGCTAATCGCTAATCCTACAGCGTCACACCAGAACACACACACACCAACAGCATTTAACAACAATGTATTTTGTTGCTGTGAAGTGCTATTGACTCCATTCCAATTCATAGCCACCCAGTATAGACAGGGTTTCTGAGGCTGTAAATCTTTGCGGGAGCAGAAAGTTTCATCTTTCATATAATCACACTTCTCTGACTGGCAACAGCCCAGATTACAGGACGTGGATTTGTTGCATTCTAAAATCCCATCTACTTCAGAACTCCTGTCTGGATTTTTTGCTGCCCAACTATGGATGAGGTTGCAGGTTTCCATGTCTCCCTCCTCCACCCTCCCATTTGTCTGTCCAATTAGACAAATTGTGCCTTCCTGAGGGACCAAAAAAGTCCAAACTCAGGAAATGTCAAAAGTCAGAGGAAAGAGCAAAGGAAGCAGAGGGGCTACACCTTCATGACTGCTTCTTATCATTTTCTGTGTTATCTAACTCTGGGACGGTCAGCTGGGAGAATGGCTGTGACAATATTTACCTGCAGAGTTGGGGGAAGGAGCAGTAGGCAGGTGAAGAACAAATGATACTGTCTGTGTACATGAGGTGTTCAGCTATTGCCAAGTTGAGTCCACTTTATGGTAACCCCATGTGTGAAGCGTAGAACTGCTTCACAGGACTTTCAAAGCTATAATAACCTTTAGGGCCGTGGTGGTGCCATGGGTTAAGTGTCGGGCTAATTGAAAGGTCAGCAGTTTGAACCCATCAACTGCTCTGTGGGAGAGAGATGAGGCAGGCTGCTCCTGAAAAGATTTACTCTCAGAAACCATACAGCAATTCTACTCTGTCGCTATGAGTTGGAATTAACTAGATGGCAGTGGGTAACCTTTAGGTAGATTTGAACCACCAGCGTTTCAGCTAGTAGTTGAGCACTTAATTATTTGTGCCACCCCAGGGCTCCTAAGGGTCATTATGGGTCGGATCCGACTCGATGGCACTTAACAACAACAAAGACTCCTAGGTGCTCAATTCAGTAATCTTCAACAATTCATTAACCAATCAATCGTCTGCAGGATTAACCACTCATCTCGGAGTCTTGCCAAACCCGGAGTTCCTTCCGTCAGCCATCTAGTGGTGAGACATTTGGCTGCAATGGCGAACGTCTCCCTTAATTCTTGGCCCTCCCGGAGAGCGGATGAAATGCGGCGGGGTCTCTTTAAGAGACGGCGCGCAGAGGCCGGACCTGCGCGGGGCTGAGGTAGCTCTGAGTGGCGCAGAAGGGACATCTGGCCTGACGGATCCGCCGGCCGGGCCATGCTGCTGCGACCGCTGCGGGGTTGGGCAGCCCGGGCCGTACGCCGCGTAGAGCCGCGGAACCAGGGGAGTTCCGTTCCGGGATCCGGGCTGCGAGGGGCACAGCTCCGGGTCGGGCCTCCGGGTAAAGCATCTTTTTGTTTCCGTTTTCCTTGGGTTCCCACTGCGCCCCACAACGGGGCGGGGTGATCGTTGGCAGGTATCCAGACGCTGGTCCGGGCCGGCGGGGCCTGGATCGTGGGCTTCTGCTCTGCTTCAAAGGACAGGAAACGCCCCCCTCCACCTCCCCACCGCGGATGGGGCCTGCTCTGAACACTGCGCCCAGGTTCCAGGCCCAATTAATTTCTAGTCTGATTATTTTGGCTTTGAGGGAAAACAGGGGTAAGAAGTTGCATCTAATCAATCCCCAGCTGATACTGGTGCGAGCTAGGGGTGGGGAATTCAGGTTCCGGGAATCCGCCCTCTTCCTCCCCTTCTAGGTATGGGGACCCTGCCTTCTCAGAAATGGGAGCTACGTCAGTGAAGTTCTGCTCAGAGGCACCTCTGAACCACCTGTGGGTTTGTGCGCAAAGATGCCAGAAACTTGAGTCCCCACGAAGCCGTGCCCACCGCCCACTAGGCCACACTGCGTTTTCACTTGCTGGACACACATCTGTGGACACCATAAATATAAACTATGTGGTGGTGGTGGTGTGCTGTGCGACACCGCATAGGGTTTCCGAGGATGTAAATTTTTACGGGAGCAGAAAGTGGAAAGTGGGAAATATGCTAATTGAAAAAAGCTGAGTACCTTTGGGGCCCAGATATGCCAACAGGACGTAGGTAGGTGCATAGGAGTGGTTAGTCGCCCTCCTTCCATCTTCGGACAGCACCAGGTGTTTTGAAAACATCTTTAGGTCAAGGAACAAATATTAAAAAATGACTATTTTATGGTATAGCAAATTAGGGAGTCCTGGTGTGGCGCTGTGGGTTAATGCGCCAGACTGCAAAGCCGTTTGAACTGCAAGGTCGGTGGTTCAAGCTCACCAACTGCTCCTCGGAAACCCTATACAGATCGCTATGGGTCGGAATCGACTCAACGGCTCTTCATAACAACAACAACATAACAAATTAGGGCAAAAGAATTGTTTAAAATGAATTTTAAACATTGATTTCTTCTGTAGGTAAAAATAGAGAAAATGTAAAAGAGAAAAAATCAGTGGTAAGTCCTTCTTTTATGTGTTTTCCAGTGTAGGGTAAATTGGAGGGGAGGAACGGGGAACGAAGGGAAGGGAGGATGATCCATTGTTTTGTTGGATTGGGAATCAGATTTTAATAAAAATAAATACCAAAGATGGGTTAAAAAGAAGCACAAGAACTAATAATATTTTCAGATAGGAAAGACCCGAGCAGATACTTCTTAAGGGAATTTATTAATGGCTTTACAGCCTTGGAAGCCCACTACAGAGTTTGTGTGAGTCCCAATCAACTGGAGGGCATGTAACAACAACAGAACTCTGAAACAATACTGTTGAAATGTGGAGATATGAAAGCTTTGGATTCCACACCTAGGTTCCATCCCAACTTTGCTATTTACTAGAGGTGAACAAGCCCTTAACCTCTTCTTAGGGCCTTAACTGTAGGGATTTCAGTACGTCATGGTATCTCTTATGTGATGGAATATTCAGTCACTTAAAATCATGTTTTTGAAAAGTACTTAATAACTTGTGAAGGTACTTGTATAAGAGATAAAAACAGATAAAAATATATGAAGTATTTATGACCCCAAAGGCAGGGAGGAAAGTGTTTGTAGAATGATGTATGGATTGAGTTATTTTTAAATATCTAAGAAGTCAAGTTGTTTCCTTTAAAAAAGCAAAAACTCAGATTGATTAGCCTCAAATGGGATCTTCTTGTGTTCTTTAGCACACTCCCTTGTGTTTATTTTGTGATTTGGGGTTCTAACAACAGCTTTTTGAACTCTCTGGGGTACCTTTAGGAGCAAGGCAGGAAGACAGCTGGGTAGGGTGAGATGAGACTGGCCCCCTGTAAGTCAGGTTTTTACAGTGTTACTGGAGTCACAAGGAGGAGCCTGCTAGGCCTGGGTATGAATTCAGACTGTCCCCTCCAGGCCTGGCCCTTTGGCCAAGATACCTAAGTGTCTTGCATTGCTCTGGGTGCCTTCATGCCATTGTGCTGCAGGACAGGTCTCAAAGCTGGAGCCAAATACTCACCCACCTGAGCCACAGGTTTGAGGCCCGTAGTCTGGACCCAAGGGCCTGGGTCCTTCTGACCATTCATATTTAATAAACCCCTACAGGATTCTGAAGGAGCTCTGGTAGTGTAGTGGTTACGATCGGGCTGCTAATCTCATGGTCAACAGTTCGAAACTACCAGCCGTTCCACAGGAGAAAGATGAGGCTTTCTGCTCCTTCTGCTCCCATAAAGATTTATAGCCTCGGAAACCCTATGTAGGGTCGCTATGAGTTGGAACCGGCTCCACGGCACATTAACAACAACAGCAACAATACAGGATCCTGAAACCGGGTGCCTGTGAAAAACCGTGCTGCAGACCAATGGTCTGCAACTTTACTTTCCCTTGAAGGCACCAGGATGCACGCACGCATGCGCACACACACAAACAGTTACACACCGCACGTAGCACTTGGAGCTTGTGTACACAGAAGAATCGCAGTGGATCTGGCGCAGCTGTGATGAAAACCAGATGACATTGTGCACAAGATATTAGTAACTAAGCACAAGTGCTTACTTTGCTTATTGGGTAATGCGTCCCTGCCTACAATTAGGTTATTTGTAGGAGGATCCTTAGTTTTGGGTTGACAGAGACATCTGATGATTGTGGTCCTTCCCACTAGGATGTTGTTCTGTTGGCTCTTGCTCATAGTGACCCTATATAACGTTTCCAAGGAGTGGCTGGTGGGTTTGAACCGCTAACCATGTAGTTAGCAGTCCAGTGCTTATTTTACAGTGCCACTATGCTACCAGGACTCCCCACTAGTGACATGGTCAGTGTGAGGGGACTGTAAACCCAAGCTGTCCTTCTGCTTTATTCCTCGCTATTTGCTCATTTCTCCCTTCTGTGTGCACTTCTCAGGTTCTGGAGAGGTTGAATGAGCTCATTGTGCATGTCACCTGGTTTAGTGCTATGCCTACAGCAAAGTGCTCAACCAAGTCCTGCCTCTTTTTTTCTTCCTCTTTCCTAATACTTTCTACAGTGGCTGAGTGCTGTATTCTGCACAAATCAATGGCTTTAAGTCCTTGTTAGGTGCTGTTAGGTTGATACTTAACTACCCTATGTACAACGGAACGAAACAATGCCATCCTCACGATTGTTGTTAGGTTTGAGGCCATTGTTGTAGCCACTTTATCAGTCTATCTTTTTGAGAGTCTTCCTTTTTTTCTTCACCCTGACCCTCTACTTTACCAAGCGTGATGTCCTTCAGGGACTAGGACCTCCTGATCACATTGCCATCTGTGTTTAAGCCTCACCATCCGTGGTTCTAAGGGTCATTCTGGCTCTTGTTTTCGCTGTTGTACATACTGTTGACAGTCCATGGTAAATTCCATTTTCTTCACCAACACCGTAATTCAAATCCTCTGTCTTCCTTATTCATTCTCCAGCTTTCACATGCATATGAGGTGATTGACCCATGGCCTACTGTCGTGGATCAGATGTGCCTTAGTCCTTGAAGTGACTTGTTTACTTTTTATTTAGAATCCGGTGAAGGCTTACAGACAAGATCATCAGCTCTTCATTCAGCAAACCATACACCCTGTTTCATCTCAGTGATTATAGTCCCCTCCCTGCAACGTCGGTTATAACACTTGTGCCCTGTGGCTCCCCATGTACATCTTACATTTTGTAAGTGAATAAGGCAAAAATATTTGATGTACACTTATACAAAAACAAAAAAATGTATATAGTCATTTAAATGTCCAAAGGGCACATTCTGCCAGACAGCCTCCTATCTGCAGGCACACAACCATGTCTTTACTGTCGCTTTTCTAGGTAGGATCTCTCACTCCATTCATACTCTTTCTTCCAGATGGTCCTGGGATCATCTGTTCCTGAAATGAAAGATTACCTACTCCCTCCTATTAGTTACACACTTTTTACAATTATAGTTGTGACAATCATAATTAATCTGCTAACAATTATATGCAATTGAGTCGTTAAAACCCTATCATTGTCATCTCCCATCCCCTTTCACCAGATTCATCTGTGAAAGAAGAAAGCTAATCAGTGGAGATTCTACCTTACCCACCTCATTCTGCAACTAAGTACACTCATGAAAGCTTGTAAACAAAGGCAAAAGACAAAAAAGTTGGCTTTGTAGCCCCCCCCCCCCCATTTTGATAGCCAGTGTCTAAGTTTCTCGTTCCTATCAACAGTGAGGAAACAAGGTTGTTCCTTGGACATTTGTACTTTTTAGCACTTTAAAGAGGTCTTTTGCAGAAGATTTGCCTAATGCAATATGTTGTTTGACTTCTTGACTGCTGCCTTCATGGGTGTTGATTGTAGATCCAAGTAAAATGAAATCTTGACAACTTTAATAACATCTTTGTTTATTGTGAGGTTGATTATTGACCCAGATGTGAGGATTTTTGTTTTCTTTATGTTGAGATACAATCCATATTAAAGGCTGTAGTATTTGATCTTCATCAATAAGTGCTTCAAGTCCTCTTTGCTTTCAGCAAGCAAGGTTGTGTCAGCTACATATCGCATGTTATTAATGAGTTTTTCTCTAATCCTGATGCCTCATTCTTCATACATATAGCCCAGTTTCTCAGATTATTTGCTAGGCATACAGATTGAATGCATATGGTGAAAGGACACAGCGCAGACACACACCTTTCTGGTTTTAAACCAGGCAGCATCCTCTTGTTCTATTTGACTGACAGCCTCTTGGTCTATGTACAGGTTCCACATGAGCACAATGAAGGATTCTGGAGCTGCCATTGTTTGCAATGCTATTAATAATTAGTTATGATCCACACAGTTGAATGCCTTTGAATAGTCAACAAAACATAGTAAACAGCTTTCTGGTTGTCTCTGCTTTCAGTCAAGGTCCAGCTGACGTCAGCAATGATAGCCTGAATCTGACTTGAGTTTCTTCAGTTTCCTGTTGATGTACTGTTGCAACCATTTTTGAACATCTTCAGTAAAACTTCACTTGCATGTAATATTATAGATATCCCTGGATCACCTTTTTTTGGAATAATCACACATATGAATCTATTCCAATTGGTTGGCTAGGTAGCTAGGTGTCTTCCTGATTTCTTGGCACAGATGAGTGAGTGCTTTCAGCATTGGAACATTCCAGTTTATTGCAACATTTCAATTGGTATTCCAGCAGTTCCTCGAGCCTTGTTTTTGCTAATACCTTCAGTGTAGCCTGGACTTCTTCCTTCAAAACTACCAGTTTTTGATCGTATACTGCTTCCTGAAATGGTTGAACATTGACCAGTTGTTTTTGGTACAGCTACTCTGTGTACTTCTCCTTTTGATGCTTCCTGTATTGCTCAATATTTTACCTCTAAAATCTCTCAACATTGCAACTCAAAGCTTGAAGGTTTTTCCAGTTCTTTCAGCTTGAGAAATGGTGAGCATGTTCTTCCCTTTTGGTTTTCTAATCCCAGTTCTTTGTACATTTCATCATAATACTTTCCTCTGTCTTCTTGAATGGCCCTTTGAAATTTATTAAATTCTCTTATGTCATCATTTCTTCCATTTGCTCTAACTACTCTATGTTAAAAGCAAGTTTCAGAGTCTTTTTGGACATCCATTTTGGTCTTTTCTTTCCTATTTTTTAATTGACCTTTTGCTTTCTTCATATATGATGTCCTTGATGTCATCTCACAACTTGTCTGGTCTCTTGTGTTCAATGCTTCAAATCTATTCTTGAGATGGTCTTTAAATTCAGGTGAGATACACTTAAGATCATACTTTGGCTCTCATGGACTTGTTTCAATTTACTTCAGCTTCAACCTGAACTGCATAAGAGCAATTGATCTGTTTTTACAGATTAGGAAAGTAACAGGTAACAAGTCAGGATCATGGAAGACTCAGGATAGAGCTCTTTGGTCAGGACAGCTTCTCAGCTGTGTCTATGGCAGGCCTCTCCCTGGCCCTCAGCCTCTTGGGCTTCTTGGCTCAGCCTCTGCCCTGTTTGGGCAGATGTTACAAAGCTCTTTATCTCTACTGTAAAAAGCACCCCACTCCAGTAGTAAACCTCAGGCTGCAGGTGCTCAGGTCTCTAGCTCCGTAGGCCTCTATTGCTGATGCTTCTTGCCACTTCTTGCCATCTTCAGTGTTGCAGTTCTCTCACTGTCTGTCTGTCGTCTGGGTCTAGGAGGGTCTCAGCACAGGGAACCCAGGTCCAAAAGACACATTCCATCCCTAGCTCTTCTTTCTGGCTGGAAGTCAGGTCCCCCATTTATCCCTCTGGAATGGCTCATTTTAAGCCTAGAGGGATGACAAAACTGACAGGTCCCCTTGATAGGAGTCCATAGAGCTTATTTGCACAGCCCCACCAAATCATTTGGAGTCCTGGTATGATGCTGTGGGATAAGCACTAGGCCACAAGGTTGGTTTAAACCGCAAAGTCAGTAGTTCAGACTCACCAACCACTCCTCAGAAACCCTATACAAGGTCACCATGAGTCGGAACTGACTTGATGGCACTTAACAACAATAACAACCCAATCATTCGGTGGTTGTTATAGACCATGACTAGAAAGGCCATATAAAAGCTATCCATCACACCACAATAACACACATGCTTCCTGAACTCAAAGACCTTAGCTTTGGTTACGGAGGCAGGACACTTATGTCTGAGGTATTGAGCTAAGGAAGGATAGATCTAGGCTGGGTGGGTGGGCAAGCCAAGCACTTAGAGGGTCTGATCTGGTGGGAAGTAGCCTAGTGGCCACCAGAAAAAGGTCTTGAGCCTGCCAATGAAGGAGGATTGGTTTGTTTATTATTATTAACAACAAGCCCTTGAGGGTCTCCTGAGGATGGTTTTGGAGTTATATATTGAAGCCTTGGGCTGAACCAATTCTGCTGTTCACCAGACATCTTCCTTGATGTGCCCCCAGCTGCTTGCTTTCTGGTTCTAACATATATTTGCCTTTTGCTAGATCTGTGTCGAGGGTAATATTGCAAGTGGGAAGACCACATGCCTGGACTTCTTCTCCAGCACAACAGGCCTAGAGGTATGGGTACCACATGGGCCCCCAAGGAATGATTTATAGAACGTGTAGTCCAGGCCTCTCCAATCAAAATATGTGCGCTGGGCCAGGGAGCGAGGCTGTCTGTGATGTGGCCTTTGGTGGGTTTGAGTTGGGGCAGTGGATGCGGCCTCAGGAACAGAGTGCTGAGAGACCCAGAGGAGGAGCGGATGTGGAAGGGGCTGAGACTATTTGAAGTGGGTTTTGAAAGATGTGTAGGAGTTTTCCATATAGTGAACATTGAGGTGAAGTGGGCTAGGCTGGGCAGAAGGAACAGCATGTGAAAAAGCACAGAGCTATGAAAAGTATGTGCATGTGTGTGTCAGGGGCAGGTGCTCCTCAGGGGCCCATTCATTACTTTTCTTTGGGTTCTTGTGTCCTATGGCCTTTCTCTTGTGCACTCTGGAGGTTCCCAGATGTATCCAGGTACTCTTAAAATCTTGGCCTCAAGAATGCCATTTAAATTCCTCACACGAAAGGTCCCTGAATAGCCTGGGGCTGGGGGAGGTGAAAGCCCTGTCCACCCACAGATCGAGGACCTGATCTGTGTCTCAGGAGATGCAGGATGTTGGAGAAGTTGGCAGTTGTCTGAAGGGTTCATTCATACAGGGCAGCAGAGAGAGTTGGGCACACTTAGCTGCCAGTGTGCCCAACACAGTAATTAGAGGGAGGAAGTTGAGGCACAGCCACCTGCTGAGGTCATGGGCTTCAAGTCTGGGTCTGCTCTGCTCACCTTCTGGCTCCTCCCACCTTCCTGCCCAGCATGACATGGTGGGCAGTATGAGTGGGTGGGTGGGGCTAGGATGCAATACACAAAGGAGAGATGGAGAGGACCAGTCTGCCTTTGGGGAACTCCCAGGGCAGGTAGAGAGGTGGGATGCACACATGCTTGTCTACAGAAACGGATAGAATGTTCTCAGGTCATTGCTGGAAGTAGCATGAGGCAGCCCTGTAGGCTAGGGTTGTGGTCCTTCAGAGGGGCCTGCTTGGCCACACCCCATCGTGGGTGCCAGAATCCCTGTCAACATTGGCACACCTTCACAGAGCCCAGAACTGAGCAAGAGTATCTCCTTGCTGTCTTTCCATCTAGGTGTTGACAGAGCCGGTGTCCAAGTGGAGAGATATCCGTGGCCAGAATCCTTTGGTGAGCGGGTGGGTTCAGCAGCAGCCCCCACATACCCCTCAAGCATCTGGGAAAGGGACTGTAATACCCAAGTCTGAGGCTGGTGTGGCATCCTGCCTGGCCATATCCCTCCCTCTTAGCTGAGTCAGGGGAGGAGGCGGGGGACAAATGGAAAAGGGCGGCATGTTGGTGTTCCGAGGTCAAGGACCTCTGAGGCTGGGTGGGGGGACCTCCTGTCTGTCTCCTATTACTCATTCTCTCCCCACCCTCTCCTATAAGAAGCTTGTCAGAACCCTGATCTGGCTTCCCAGGACCTGTCTCCAAGTTACCAGGGTCCATGGTAAAGCCCTGATTGGAGTTGCACTTGGCATGTTGAGGACAGGGGTGCCCTCTTGCTGACCCAGGAGTCACCTATCTGCTCTCCTAAGCGTGGACATGGCCACTGTGGGCTGCAGTGTGCCTGGCCCCCTCCTCCTCATTACTAGCTCCACAGGCTCTGGGTGCTGGAGAGGGCCGGCTGCCACAGAGCAGGGAGCCTAAGAAAGATGCAGGAACTGGGTTCCTACTTCATGACATGGGTACTTGTAGTCTCATTTTTCCAGTGAGGAAACTTCAGCTCACTCAGGTAAGTGATCCAAGGTGACACATCTGGTAAATGACAGATCTAGATTTCAACCTTAGATACCGAAGCCCTTGTAGATCCCTGGCCCCCATTTGTAGCAGCACAGGAATTCCACGTGGGATTTTTCAGACCCTGCATTCCATTCGGGCCAAGGACTGTGTCTATTTCAGTTTGCTGTTACTTGCCCACATACAGTGCCTGCCGAGCACAGAGTCCACGCTCATTTATCCAGCCGTCCAGTGATGACTGACTGCACATGCCAGACACCCTTCCAGGTGCTGGGACCCCAGCAGTGAGCACCTCAAAGCCCCTGTTCTGTGTGGGGAGGCAGAAGAGAAATAAGTGTATCATACGCCTGGTGGGGATAAGAGCTGCAAAGACCGTCAAGACAAGTAAAAGATGTTACTTAAGGCAAAACCTCTGAGTCTTTGTTTAAACAACGAATCCATAGACTCATAAAGCGAATGCCACATCTCTGCCTCTGGGACAAGAATGGAGTGGCAGTCATCATCTCTGGGTGCAGCAAAAAAACCTCACAAAACACTGATCTTCTCCAGAACACGGAGAAGCCAGCGCTGGATTATTATGTAGGATAGCTTGAGTTGCAAACATCAGGGATTTGAGATTGTGTTTCACAGGATATAGCCATGGTCTCTGAAATCTCCTCACTCCCCCCAGTCCTCCCTCAAGCTTTTCTTTCACCTGCAGGTAGCAGGGTGTTCAGCTCTGAGCATTGGCATTTCATTCATTCATCACTCCATTCCGACTCATAGTGACCTTGTAGGACAGGGTAGAATGGCTCTCTGGGTTTCTAAGACTATAAATCTTTATGGGAGCCGACAGACTAATCTTTCTCCTTAAGTGTGTCTGGTAGGTTCAAACTGCCGATGTCATGGTTAGAACAGCCCAACACGTTATCCATGGTGCCACCTGGGTTCCTGTTAGCTCATCTGAGAGGAGAGAAAAAAATACCAAATATGGAAAAGAGCAGAATAAGATTACTAGCAAGAAAAATAAAGGGTAGGAGATGTGGATCTGATGACTATGGGAGATGGGGTGGGGGCTTTTATTTGCTAAAGGCTGGCTAGGGAAGGTGGCTATGCTGAGTGGCATTTGGGTAGAAACCTAAACAAAGGAGGTTTGAGCAATGCATGTATCTGGAGGAAGAGCATCCAGATGGGAAGAAGCACAAGTGCAAAGGCCCTGAGGTAGAACCATGCTTGCTGTGTTTGGGGAGCACTAAGAAGGCTCGTGTTATGTGCTTGGAGGCTGACTGAACTGGAGGGAGAAAGGTAGGAGACAGAGCAGATGGAGGGGCTCTGAGGGCCACGCTGAGGGTTTGGGATTTCAATCTGAATTGTCATGGATTAAATTGCATCCCCTCAAAATATGTGTCAGCTGGGTTGGGCTATGATTCTCAGTGGTTTAGCAGTTATATAATGGTGCTTAGTGGCTTCCCAGTGTCTAAAAACTCGGTATTTACTATACAAATTCTACGTGGTCGTATTTTAAAAACTGAAACCATGTAAGTGAAACCTCCATCATGTTATCTGATGTGATCAGCCCATCAGTTGTAAGGGGATTAGGGTGGGCTATAACACCCTTACTCGGACCACAGCCCTGTAGTTTTCCTGGGGTACATCACCTTTTATTTTACAAGAGGAAAAAGGAGAAAGAAGTAAGTGGAGAAGGAGGGACCTACTACTACCAAGACAGACGATCCAAGAGTGGTGCATATCTTTGGATCCTGAGTCTCTGTGATAAGAACCTCCTAGACTCAGGGGAAGATTGATGCCAAGATGTGAAAATCTCCACAGAGCCCACCGATGTTGAAAGGAGACAAGAAAACCTTCCCCCAGAGCAGCAGACAGAAACCCTTCCTCTGTAGCTGGTGCCAGGAATCTGGATCTCCTCAGCAGTGAGAGAATACAGCCATCCACTTGGGGTATTTCTCTTACAGCAGTAGTAGACAGCGAAGCCATGACTGCAGCTTGGGGCCTGTGGAAGGTTCTGAGCAGGTAGTGCTTTAGGTACAACAGGCACACTTTGGCTGCAGGGATGGGTGACTGAGTGCATATTCCCAGGGACTCTCTGTGGGCTCCTGGAACAATGCTGCTGGACTCTTCTGTGACTGCTCTGATACCTGTCTTCTGCGTCTCTTGTTCTGAGGGCCCTACAACGGTGTTGTGTTCATCCCTGACCCCACCTAGGTTTCACAAGATGGCCATCGGTGACTAAACAGACCAGGGTCCTGCCAATGCCTCTTTGAGGTAAATGCCATGTTCTCCTGCAGGGTCTGATGTACCTCGACCCCTGTCGATGGGGCCTCACACTGCAGACCTATGTGCAGCTCACCATGTTGGACCAGCACACCCGCCCTCAGGTACGTTTTGGATGCTCAGGGTGAACCTTCTTTAAAAAAAGTGTCTTCAAGTCAGGGTGTGTGTTTGCAAGGAAGGGAAACTGCTATGAGTTGCTGAGAGTCCTATGTAAAGAGAAGGTGGGAAAATGGATAGAGAACAGCTGGACAGGTAGATAGGTAGACAAGCAGGGTAAGCTCTGATTTGCTGGCCCAGGTTTTATGGGTGTCCTGGACTGAGAGGAGGAAGCTCTGTGGTGGGCAGAAGGAAAGGCGGACAGCAGAGTACCCTAGCAGAGGTATGAACTTAGTTAACATAGTTCTCCCCAGCTTCCAAAGGGCTGTAGTGATCTCTGTACCAGCCTGGGAGTTGGGGAGGCACCAGTGACAGAGTCCTCAGAACCTCACTCACACTTCATCCCCCCCTGGGGTGTTTTGCTCAGGAGTACAGATCCCTCTGCTTACACAAATTTACCACCTGGACATTTAGGTCTGGCATATATGATCACTGTATTTTGCCGCTGGACAACACTTGGCAGTTTTTCCAGCAGTTTTCCATACATTCCAGTTGAGTCTGGCTTCTCTAATGAAGAAGCTGCTGCAGAGCCCCCAGCTAGGTACAGCTGTGCTTCCCAGTGAGCTCCAGGGCGTTCAAGGGTCCAGCTGAGTCTTGCATCTGCCTCACCCTCCCCATGGCCTCTCATTCTTGCAGTCAGCGGAGATGTCAGCCAGCCATCCCAGGCCTCATTCAAGGCTTCCTGAGCTCATCTTTGCCAGAGTTAGTAAATCGTTTTTTGTTTCCCTTTAGACGTCACCGGTACGATTGATGGAGAGGTCGATTCACAGCGCAAGATACATTTTTGTAGAAAACCTGTATAGAAGGTACAATTCCTAATTTACTACACCATAAATATTTAGACATGAAATTGGAATGGATTGATTTGCTGGACAGATTACAAATACCTACCACGTTGTATTCATTGCCACAGTAATACTGTATAACAAACAGTCCCAAAATCTCAATGGCAAACAGCTATCTGCATGTATTGCTCTTGCATCTAAGGTGGTTGGCCAAGCAGCTGATGACCTGGGCCATGTTCAGTCACTTGTCTGGGGGCTGACCAGTCTGGATGGTCTTTGCAAGACCGATTAAGGTGGACAATCTTCCTCTGGCCTCTCATCCTCCTTCTGGAACCAGTGAGCTAACCTGGGTCTTCCCTTCTTATGGGTGGGGCAGAGGCAAAAGGAATGAAGGAAACGCCTGGGCGTTCTCTCAGACCTCACTAATGCCTCATTGGCCAAAGCAAGTCACACAGGCAGAGTGTCAGCGGTGGGAGGGTCCGTAAGTTGCACATGGCACAGGATGAGGGGTATCTCACTGCCATTGAGTCGATTTGGACTCATAGTGATCCTGTGTAGGGTTTCCGAGGCTGTAATTCTTTATGGGAGAAGAAAGCCTTAATTTTCTCCTGTGGAGTGAAGCGACTGGTAGGTTTGAACTGTTGACCTTGTGGTTAGCAGGTCAGTGCTTATCCTAGCACTGTCGGGGCTCCCTAGGAAGGATGATGAATCAGGGTGACCGGAGCCTCGCCCTCATGGGAATGGATTGCCCTCTATACACAGAGCTGGGTGGGCTCTGCTGGACCATTGTGTTGAGCCTCAGAGGCATGGGGCCTCCAGTCCTGTGTTAGGTCCGATAGTTGTTTCCAGGGGTCTAGGGAGAAGTGGGTTGCAGGTTGGGGCCTCAAAGTTTCTTTTTCCTTCTTTCTTTTTTAAATTAGATTTGGGTGAAAATTTACAGAGTAAATTGGTTTTCCACCCAGTAATTTGTACCCACTTTGTTTTGTGACACTAATTGTTGCCACCAATCCTACCTGTGTTTCCTGTTTTTGTACAGCCTTCTTTCCTATCTCTTCCTGCCTTGTGAGCTTTTTCCTGGACAGATGCTGCCCTTTTATCTCCTATGGTGGTTGTTCTAATGAGTGCATACCTCCCTGGTGTTACTGTTCCCTCTGTAGGCCTGGGCTTTAGCTGAAAGTTGAGCCACAGGAGTGAGTTTGGTTCCAGGCTTGAAGGGGGTTTACTGGCCATAGTCTCAGGTGGGGGCTGAAGTTCTTGCACATCTCTTCCCTTCTTGGTAGCTGTGTGCCTGGTTTGAGCTTTGGGGTGCTGCTGACACCTCCTCTTAGACTCGTGTAGAATGCTCACTTCCACTAGCTACCTGCTGTCTGCCTCACTTCTGAGCTCTCTTAAATGTCCCCTGCTCTCCCAGTCTCCCTGACTCCACAGTCTACCTGGGTTCAGCCCCTTGTTATTCTTTTAAAAAATATTTTGTGCTTTGGGTGAATGCTTATAGAGAAAATTCAACATTTTATACAGATTTTGTTTCGTGATGTCTGCGATCCTGTTAACATACATCCCTCTTCCCATTTCCTCCCTGTTTCCGGTTTCTATTCCCCCTTGCCATTCTTCATTACCGCTTTCTCTTGACTTTCTTGACTGTATTGAAGACAGTTTCTAATTACATCAAACCACATGAGACTGTTATGTTTGACCAATTCTGACCCCAAAACAAGTTTCCTGTGGTTCCGCTTAATGACTGCTCATTTGTCTGATTGTCTATTGCTCACGCTCCACCAGACTCATAGGTTCCTGAAGGATGGGGATCCTCTGGGTTACTTGTGGAGCTCAGAACAAGCACAGAGTAGGCCCCTGCTGTGTACTTGTTCAGTGTTGTTGGATGATAGGACCTGTAGCTGGTCTTGGGGAGTTCTGGCTGTTTCACACCCTTTCCTTTCATGAAACTCTATAAATCCTTTTCTCTGTGGATCCTGGGCAGGCAATGGATCATGTCCTCCCATCTCTGTGGCCCCAGACCCATCACATGCATCAGACCCAATGCTGTGGGCTCAGGGCAGGCCATCCTGACTGTAACTCTGTCTTCTGATTTGTCCTTCCAGCAGGCGGCATTTCTGTTCCTGGGCCCTGTGATCACCCACCTGCACAGGTTTTCAGGGGTGACACAAAGTGTCCTTCCCGACCCTTTGCTCTCCTCTGCTCCCTCTGCCAGAGGGACATAGGTTGGAGAGAGGAAAACAACTCACAGGAAGCCTTTTTGGTGTTGACTCAAGTCAGAAGGGCAATTGCCAAGCAGTGTGATGGCATTTCCCACAAATCTGGTCTAGCTGGGATTTCTCTGTCTTCCAGTAAGTGTCGTCAGCTTGGCTGGTTCTGGGTGGTGCTTTTTTTGAAGAAGGGGCTCTTTTTGAAGAAGGTAGCCTGGATTGGAATGCCCAGAGGCCCAGGGCAAGAGTGAAGTAAGGAGTTAGGTAGACCTGGGCTCCATCCTGGCTCTGAGGTTGTTCTGTTTGATTATGTGACCCAAGTTTCTAAGTCTCTCTGAGCCCACTTCTCATCTCTAGTTCCCATCGTTTGTCTCTGGGTAGCCTGTGGACCATTGTCTAGTTTAGGTCTTATGACCTTTATCTGGGCTCTTGCCTACCTTGGTCCTCATGAAATTGCTTCTCCCCACAAATATCACCCAAACTCCAGGGAATTTTCCTTTGAGTCTTGGTTGGTCCCAGACCACTGCTTCAGGGCTGTGGCCCTTCACTGTGCTTCTGATGGGTCAGTTCTGTATCCCCCACTCTCTGTGCTTGTGATTGAGGACACTGGTCCATAATACGGTTTTTGGGATCAAATTGTTTGAGGTTTGCACAAATGCCCCTGAAGGCCTAATTGGAGACTGTAGCGTAGTGGTTACGAATCGGGCTTGTGAACCGCATGGTCAGCCGTTCGAAACTACCAGCGGTTCTGCAGGAGAAAGATGAGGATTTCTGCTCCCGTAATGATTTACAGCCTCGGAAACCCTGTTCAGGGTCACTATGGATTGGAACCGACTCCAAGGCACTTAACAACAACAACAACAACAATCACTTGATGAAGCCAAAGGCTGTTGGCCAGCGCATAGCCTCAGCGATTTCAGGGACTGCTTGTAGCCCCACACAGTACCTGGGAACCAGGCCATCTGCTGTTGGGCTTTGTGGGAAGTGGTTCAAATTTGAATTCCTGAGTCCCTTCACTGATCTCCAGGCTGGGGCAAGCTCATATGGGAGGTTCTTTCCCCTCTTTGTCCTCCTAGCACCCATGGCCCAGACAGCCCACTAACTGGAAATTCCTCTGACATCTCCTCTTTTCTCTTAGAAATTCATTTGGATTTTGCATCCTATCCCATAGCATTTACGTCTGTTTCTATTTAAAAAGAAGATATTACTTATGAAGCATATTGGCTGATCCTATAGCAAATGTCATGCATGTGGTTTAGAGTATACCCTTCCCTCAGCACGGACCCCAGAGTCCCCAAGTTCAGGAGACAGAACCAAGGGGAAGGAGCTTTAGGAAGCCCTTTACTTCACAGAGACCAACCTACTCCTGCTCCCTGGAAACTGGAGCATTGCCTAGGTAGTTGAGAGGCAAGGCAGGGACTCCAGGGCCGGAGCTGCTTAGATTGTTTGGTTTTTCACGCACATCACCCCTTTTGAACCCTCAAGGTAGCCTGGAGGAAGGTATTTGTCAGATAAGGAACTGAGTGTGGCTGATGTTGTTCAGTACCATCAAGTCTGTTCTGTCTCGTAGGGACCCTGCATAGGGTTTCTGAGGAGCAGCTGGTTTGAAGTAACCTTGAGGTTGAGTACTTATACTGCTGGGCCATACCAGGACGGGAAGCCTGTATTTCAAGGTGAGGGTCAAGGAGCTAATGCAGGTGAAAGCTTTTTGTACCCTGATGTGTGGGGTCAGGGTGGAGTAAGAAAGTGTTGAGAGACAGCTGCCTTTCTCTAATGAAGGCCAAAGACTGCAGGGATCCATTGGAGGCTATAAAATCTGAGAACCTCAGGTGCTGCTAGTCCCAAGGGATGATGCGGGCCCACCTCTTTCCAGGTAGGGATAGGAACAGGCTCCTCCTACCTCAGTGAACTCTCAGAGCCCCCGTGTTTTGCTAACAAGCTGATTTTGCTTTAAAGGAGGGCTGTTGGCTTGTCCTAGAGTGAAAACACCCTGTAAAAGCATAATGAGGAGGTTTATTGAAAGTCCCGAGACCACCTGGACTAGGAAGATGGCCCTTGTGCCAGACCGAGATGTAGCAAACATTCTGGTCCAGATGATGCAGGAACTAAAGCTACAAAGTCCTAATTGGCTGAAAGACAATTTAGTGTCAAAGGTGGGTCATCTGAGAGCAGGGACTTAGCAGAGATTAGTGGAGAACATATTGGTGGGGTTATGTGATTGGTTGTTGTTGTTGTTAAGTGCCAATGAGTCAGTTCCAACTCATAACAGCCCTGTATAGGGTTTCAAAGGAGCGACTGGTGGGTTTGAACCACTGGCCTTTCTGTTAGCAGTCCTGTGCTCATCCTACAGTACCACACCAGGACTTCACATGGTTGGTTAAGGGTATGTAATTGCAAGTAACACACTCTTCGCATTGTGGATTAAGACTTGGGCTGCTACCCACAAGGTCAGTAGTTCGAATCTACCAGTAGTTTCATGGGAGAAAGATGAGATTTTCTGTTCCTATAAAAATGTATCCACTACTCATCTGTCAGTTTGTTGTACTGTGGTGGCTTGTGAGTTGCTGTGATTCGGAAAGCTATGCCACTGGTATTTTAAATACCAGCAGGGTCACGCATGGTGGTTTCAGATGAGCTTCCAGACAAAGACAGACTAGGAAGAAGGAGAGACGAACCACTTCTGAATATTTAGTCACTGAAAATCTTATGAATAGCAGAAAAACACTGTCAGATATAGATAGTGCTGGGAAATGAGCCCCTCAGGTTGGAAGGCACTCAAAATGCAACTGGGGAAGAGCTGCCTCCTCAAAGTAGAGT